TTGATTAAATAGCTAACGGTATCAGGTTAAAATTTTATATTATAAATATTGCGCAACAATTATGTATCTTTTAAATGCTTTAGTTAGCACAAATTGCTTGCCAACAACCGGTATAATGTGAGAGTCAATTGAAACTGAATTTTTCCTTGGAATGTACGGTGAGGTAACTTTAATGAGTATACCTTGTCTAGACATCGTTCAAGCTACTAAATTCAGTATATTCAACGCTGATGAAGGGGATTAAGTAAAAATTCGAGCATATTTTGGAAATACCTCAAGGCTTTCACGCCCATAAAACGACTAAGGGAGCTTCCATTCACAACATACTGCAACTCAGTACCCATGCAAAATTGTTATTAGGATTATTAGGATTATTGTTAGGATTATTACCGTAGATTCGTAATGTAGGCAAACAAATACCTTAAATAAACCAGGTCATAATGAACGAGCAGGAAAAAAGCTACATATAACTTATAATCTAAACAAGCGAATGATTGTGGTAAATAAAAAACTTGCCAAACTGCCTTTGAAAGTTTAAAGATCTTGAGACAATAATAATAATAAATATCGTATAAACTGCTTTAAACATTGACTATTACAAAATATACACTATTCAGTAAAATTTTTAGCCATAATTATAACAAAATTTTTATTTGCCGATTATTTAAATAAAGTGAAGTACCTTTAATTCTTAAAATGTTTAATTCTAAAAAGACATGAACTCAACAGTGCAATTAATGCATTAATGTAGTGAATAAGATAATAATAACAAGAAAATATCTGATGTTTAGGCAAAATCATTAACGAAACTTTTTCTGCGAACATATATATGCTGACTTCCAATCTTTTTAAATGGGCAAATAATACCAAATGCTTGTAAAGCGCTGGGTTTGATTATGGAAGACGACGCTGTGGGTACTTGCTCTGGTAATCTATCTAACGAGTCCAAATAATGTACTTTTAACCTTTTTTGGAGTGTATTAAGTATTTTGTTTATACATTGGTATCAATTTCAGATTTACTTGAACAGCTGAAGTTATTTAAACCGCAGCAACAGGCCAAACGTACAGATTATCTTCAGTGGGATGAATATTTTATGTCTCTTGCATTTTTATCAGCTATGCGCAGCAAGGATCCTAGTACACAAGTAAATTACTCATACCTCTATAATCTTTAGGTCGGTGCCTGCATAGTGAGTCAAGATAACAAAATTGTTGCAATGGGATATAATGGAATGCCAGTGGGGCTTTCTGATGATGACATTCCATGGACTAAAGATAAAGAAGATGTTTTACAAAATAAGTACCTTTATGGTAGATTATTTTGATTCTTTTTTTCATTATTTAGTCTGTCACGCGGAGCTGAACGCCGTTTTAAATAAAAACGTTCTAAGTGTCAAGGGTTGTAGAATATACACAACCCTTTTTCCTTGTCATGAGTGTGCCAAAGTTATAATCCAATCTGGAGTCAAAGAAATCGTCTACTTTGATGATTCGAAAGTAAATACTCCTTCAAATAATGCTTCGAAAATTATGTTCTTGAAAGCGAATGTAAAATTGACGTGAGTTACTAGCCTCATAAGTTTTCCAGTTATTACCTAGTAATCAAGTTGAGTCCGTTCTTCTCCTCTTTCTTTTAGCCCCTTTGTCAAAACCGGACGCAAAATTAATATCTGTCTTAGCTGATGATAATGATTGTTCTAATTAGTGATTTGATATTTCACTTTTACGAGTGAGTTTTGCATTTTAAAATATAATGAATAAATGGGTGAAGTCCTTTTGGAGCCTTTGTCATAATTCCCTCCATTAGGTGAGGGTAAATCTTAAATGCGCTTTTTATTGTAATTCTGACTAGATACTTTCCCTTTTCAGGTTGAGAATAACAGCTTTTGGTTCACTTTCCTTCGTAAATGTCTGTTCCATATGTAAAAACTTCAAGGGTGGTAAAATATAATGACTTTCCGACTTCCATTGTTATTGGGCCGGCGCTCCACGCTGCTATGAAAGGCTAGATTATTATTGACATTCAACTAATTTGTTCTCACAATAATAATTATTATTTCAAATGGCAGGCTTTCCTGAAGTAGTCAAGCAGTTGAGTGCAACAGACTACATCAGTGTCTGCTAATGGGTTCATTGATAGAGGGAGGCTTTTGGTTTGTCATCGATTTTTAACGCTTTCTTCAGTTCAATGGCGTTCTTTATTAGACCAGATTGCGTTTTCAGATGCCTTGATCTATTCTCATAGGTGCTGAAGAACTTATCTATGGGAATGCGCAGTAGCTTCTCATACAGGATCAAGTCCTCCTCTTTGATAAGGGAACCTATTGTTGTGCTTTCTGTAACTAGGAGCATTACATCAATGGGTGTTGATTTTATCCCTCTAGTTATTAGTCGTAATGCTTGGTTGTGTGCCTTCTCGAGGGGTTTGAGAGTCACCTCTGTGGCTGTAATGAGTGGCTCACAGCAATACAACATTATTGGCTGAATAATCATCTTGTAAGTGGTTTTAAGAGTTGAGCGTGCACAGCCCCATACACTACCAGCAAGACGCTTCAGTACATTCAGTCTATTGGAGATTCGTTCTGTTATTTTAACAATGTGACTTTTCCACGTTAGCTTTGTGTCAAACGTCATTCCGAGATAAGTGAACTCACTGGTTTTTTCTATGGTAGTATCCCTGTCCCCTAGAAGCGGGTTTATGTTGTGACGGGCCAAAGAAAAAGTTTGGAATGCAGTTTTTGCGGTGTTAATTACCATTCCATTGTTGCCGCACCAGTTTGCTAGTAGATTAAGTGCATTATTTAGGGCACTTTCTGTCCTCTTCTGAGCGTTTTTCTTAGGGGCGGAATACCACAGAACAAGTTCATCTGCATAAAGTAAGCACTTGATGCCCGTGACTGTCTGTACTAATTCGGCTATGCCATTGATGAAGACATTGAAAAGAGTGCAGCTTATGACAGCTCCCTGTGGAAGGCCTGTTTGTAAAAGATTGGATTTTGATTGAGCATTTCCATATCTGACTTTACACGATCTTTGTCCAATGAATGCTTTTATCCAGTTTAGCATGTTATGCTTAATACCAATCTTTGCCAATTTTAG